ACCCCGTTAGTTCAAACTACAATTGAACAGTGAAAGTTTTATCATTTAAATGGTTTACTCTTATAAATACAAAACTAAGTCCTTAATCTTATTAGACAGATGTGCATTGTCTACATTACGGCTTCGAACTTACTTCTAACCACATGTTAGTCTCGCACTAGCCAACTTGGCTACCACACTCATCCTTAAGTACTTGTATAATCGATGGCATTCATCAATACGAAATGGCTTCTGTTGCCAGCATTACGGATCGATAGTCATAGTCAGCCATAGTTTGCCGTTGGTGCAAACTTTTTGCTTTTTGATAAAGTTTATCAGGAAAACGACACCAACAGCATACATATTCGGCAGAAAATTTTATTATGTGATAATTTGAGTATATAATTGCCTAAGTATTATGCTTAATTTGACAATAACGTGGATCTTCTATTTGTGGCATTTAAACTGGGAAGTTTACTGACTATATAACCATAATATGTCATACGGCCAACGAAAGAAAGGGTTACCTTTACGATATTTTCTCAGAATATCACAATTCTAATAAGATAATCGTCGCAAAGTCCACAAAACATTAAACAAAAACGAATTTTTTTAAAACAAAAATATCACAAAGTTTGAGGGGCTTCTATTTACTGCAATCATAGTAAACTGTGTATTTATTCGGTTTGAAAGTTTTGTTATCGGCCAAATTTCTAATAATTGTGTTACCAGAGCACTAAATTTAAGGATGTTAGTTTAGCCGAAAGAAAAAGTTTAAGGCACAAACAGCGACACCTTAAAAATATTCATTTCCATTGTGTTTATTTGCTTTGTTGTCACTTATACACTAGTTCCAACACTAGTGTATTAAACATAGTCGTAGTCGTTGATGGAAATGATGATGGTGATTATTTTCGTTGATGATGTTGCATATTCACGTGCGCTGAATCAACCAACCGTGACGGGGTGACGTGAGTAATTGTATTGTTGATCGACACAGCCAGCCGCAGCTGCGACGTTCTGGAATATGTTGTCGGCGAAGGCGGCTGGTGGCGGCGAGCAGTGAGGCCAAATGTCGCAAACCTACCTGCGCGTGTTACCACCAGCACTTGTTGGTGTAAACGAATTTGTTAGTTGCGTATATGCTACTGTCATTGGTGTTCGATTGACGTTGTTTGGATGCTTCACATACCCACTGACATATTCGAGTTCGAGTTCATGCGCTCACAGAGACTTTTGTGAAATTTTAATACTTCTCTGTTCAATTAACCGGTTGAAAATTATACTTCCCGGTATATATAATTTTTAAAAATACATATATAACTGTAAAAACTACATTTGTATGTAGAAACTTTTGGTTTCTTACTTTATTAAAAACACTTGCATTTGTAGGTTAAGACTAGTCAAGATGATCAATTGTAGGGGTTTACAGGGATATTATATATAATTCGTCGATACATTGAAATAGAGTTCTTATAACAAATGCAGCATTATATAGAGGTTTTGAATTCTTTGTTGAAGTAGTTAATATTCGGCAGTAAATCGAAATAACTGTTTGTATTTTGTTTTCGTATTTTCAGCTATTATATTTATTTGCGTAGATCTTTTCCCACGAATTAAATTTGAGCTATCCAGATCACCCTACTGGAGATTCTAATTAATGAATACATATGAGTCTAGGTGTCTTCTTATGCGTTTGACCGTGTGTGAGCATTTCCCTTTCCCATTTCATTTACTTGCATTTAATTCGTACAATTGTAATGGGTTCAACCGAATACAGTGAGGGTAATTAATTATTTTCCGTGGGCAATTGATTGCTGCTATATGCGTGTATTGTGTATTTGTACCATTATTGCTGTGTATGTAGGTTTTGGCCGGCATGGTTTGGGACACGAATACGGGTGGCTTGGGTAGTGGTGGTGGCGGTTGCTAATCGTAATGTTTGCATGCCGACTTGCGTGTGAGGGAATTTTAAAAAAGGTCACATTCGACACAGTGACATTTTGTCACAGGTGGCATTAGCTTGTTGTTATTAGCAATTGTTAACGTGATAAGGAAATGACGCAGCGCATAAAACAAGCTACTGGTATTTCACAGTATAAAAGGTGAATTCGTAGAAAAATGTATTAAAGGAGTTATATTTGTCGCAACCCAAACAATTTGAATTAATTAAAAATGCCAAAGGTCAATGCAACTGTCACAATATAATTTCCCAATCATGATAATTAAAAATATTTATATTATATTATAAATCTTTATATATGATAGTTTCATGAATAAAAACGGGCGAAAACGGAAGCGTTAACAAAATCCGCTTCAACAAAATTGTATTTAATAAACTTCCGTTGAAATAAAAACTATATTGTGTAATCGCCATTGAGGTAAGCATTATCAAATTGCTTTCATTGCAAAATATATTTGTATGTATGTAATGTTAGATAAAACACATATATTTTATTACAATATGCTTTTGAACCTATAAGCGCACGCTCAGCATTTTATTTAAACCTAAGTATCATATGTGTGGCTAGGGCTGTGGAGGTTATCAATTACTACAATTTACAGACTCTAATAGTTAGTGTGCAAAAAACTTTTAAATATTTAAATATTTTGTGAAAATCCGATCAACTGAAGTATACTTTGAAGTTCGTGTATAGTATAAAAATATAATAGTGCTTTTTTGATAATATTTTTTATATCCCTCAACACTGCTCAAAACCGTCTATTTTAGCATAAGAGCCATTATTCTCAACGGACAGGGTGTAAGTGTATACAACAAAGAGTGTCACTGCAAAACCATTAAATTTGTGCTGTTCTTGAACTTTTGGCAGAATTAAACAAAAAACCCGGTGTATCTACATATGTAAATATATGTATATGTATATGGGTATATGTTTAATTATATTGTATGAGGTAATTTAACAACGGCGCCATTAATGAATCATTACTCTCTACTTATTTATTTCACTATTATTTTTTCATCGGACATTTTTCCATTTATGCGCGATTTCGCAATTATATTCAGCACAATTCAATTATATTTTTTGTATTGTTCTATATTTTGGTTTGAAGTTTCCTAATTGTGGTCAATTTCTGCTATGTGCGCAAAGTTGTTTGCCAAATTTCCATTTTGCTGGCGTTTGTGTCAACTCAGCTTGCAGCTGTAGATATCATCGCTCAGCATGTTATGAAAGTTGTCTATTATATGGTTACAATAATAATTATACCATATATTATTATTTTTTATCAAATTCTTTAGTTTTAAAACTCATTATAAAATAGTGATACAAATATAATTGTTACGTTTTAGTCTGCTCCCTTCTAACGACACCACAATTAGTCGCATATCGTGGAATGAGTTGCTAATCTGAAACAGCATAAAAACTATCACATGTGGAAACAGTTACGCAACCATTTTCACAAGAATCGTGTTGACTTAATTAGACCCGATCCGGAAATCAAACAACTATCAGACAGCGCCGACTGAACTGTTTTTTACAACACTTATTGAGGATTGTCTTACAATTTTAGAATGTAAATAAAATATCCATCAACTATTTCGAATATTTTATTTATTGAAAATAAGTAATACCCACAGGAGATTTATTGTTAAAAAAAATCAACAAGAAGATCAAATTGAACTTGTCTGCTTTTCTACTAAATATTGGGAACTGATTTATATTACTGAGTCAAGGATTAAGTAGAATTTTTGGCGAAGCTCTGACGGTATAGCATAGAACATTTGTGAAAATTAAAGTAAAATACTTTCCAGCGCGCGGTTTTCATCTTGCAAGGAAGTAGATTACTACCACTACAAAGCGATTAGAATCTAATTCTATTAATATCTTATGGGCCATATTCAAAAAGTGTGTCTTCTATTGCTGACGTATATAAACATTGTGGAATGATCTCCATTCATTTTGCTTGCCAATCATATTACATTTTTTTGAAATATAGAGCGCATCGGTGCGCATGCGCACATAACGTTTGAAACTATTCAATACGTTTTCGAATACTATACTATACTTTCCGTAAACTATACTGGTTAGAACATGACATTTACTGTTACTAGTACTAGCATAAGTATATAGGAATATACTGTATTTTATTATAACCTTAAAAATACTCAGCACTTAATTACAATGTACTAATTTCGCTGCTACAAATAATGCATATATTTAGAGTGCTCACATATATATTCTTACCAATGGTAGTAAAACGGAAGTAAAAGACGCGCATTCGTTGTTGAAAGCCAAAAAATAATGAAGATAGAAGTAAATGAAGAAAAAGCAGAGATTATTAATTGCGGTATGTTAAAAATATTTTCATAAAAGCATACATATATAAATGAATATACATATATGTATACCTATATAGGTATATATATACCTACATATGTACTAAATATGCATATATTATAATATTACTATGTTCTAGACATGTGAAAGAACTGCTTTTAAGTTAACAAATTATACTAAAATATACAATATATATATATGAAAAAAGTAGAGAGGGAGGAAGTTTCTTCATTCAAAGCGGGAAGAGGTCAACAAATTATTTCACAATGAAGAAGCGTTAATGATCATTCGCATTATATCAGCAACTAATGATAAAGAGCGCAAGTTGGAGCGTGAGAAAGCAGCCTAAGTGTGCTCTTTGAAACGAATTGAAAACGGAAGACAGACCACAATACTTTAGTAGAAGAGAGACCACACTAGGCGCTTTCACAGTTCGGTTCTAGTACTCATTACCTACATTGTACAGCAGTACACCTGTGTTTCAACACGCTTGACTGCACACCACATCAGGTGAAAAAGTGAAACAATTATTATATACACTACTATCGCTGGAGAGAGCATAACCTGTATGTTATTACTATAGAGGTGTGTGCGATAGAGCAGCTCGACTGCTTTTTCGTACTGGCGTATCGATTTACAGCACGAAAAGAGCGCACATAACTGTCAACACCAGAATGGTCACAAAAGGTTACAAAAAGGCCGAGTGCACCGGGAATGTGCACAAGTCGCTTAACGAAATTCGAACGTGTTGGATCGGTTTGGTGCAGCTCGTGAAGATCAGCGTGCTAAAGTCGCCGGTCGCTAGTTGCAATACATACAATGTGACTATAAAATTTACATACCGAACAACTCCGGAACACAATTCTGTTTTCTAAAACAATAAGTGTGTACAACGTTCGTGCGCTGATCGGATTAGCAATTTAGTGAACGCATACTCGCGAGCGCGCACCGAACGGAGGTGCAGTACAATAGATGAGCGCCTGAGTAAGCGTTTGCGATGACATCAATGGAGTGAGCGCAGTTCGTGCGCCTTGATGGGACTCTCGTTGTAGTTACCTGTCGCATTGGCCACGTCTGCTACGATCAGTTGAACGACAGCTAGCAACAAGTTCGCTTGTTAGCCAAGCGTAGCGGATGTCTACTAAGTTTGTTCAGTCAAAAAGTATGACTACTAACAGTATACTTTGTTCATGTTTTAAACATTGGAGGCTGACTATTTGAGATGATCGTGTCTCATTATTTTACCGAACAGTGTTGCTAACCAGACTCAGCAGTTTCAGTGTTAAATATATAAATACAACAAAAAAGTGCTTGAAGTATCACCAAAATACGCTAAAGACAGAAAACATAATAAAATAAAACATTGGAGAAATGCCACTTAGTTAACACTCAGGTGCGAATTGGAAGCATACCAAAAAGAAAGAAGTTCGAGAAGCCAAAAAAATGTGATCGCCTGAGTTGTGATGAGCTGGAATGAAGGCAATGAAAGCAAACAACAACAATACTAATTTATTAGCTTGTTCAAGTTTTGTTGCTTTGTAGTGCTTGTCGAACTGTTAAAAAGCGTCGAGTAAACACCAAAGGCCAGACCACCAGTACACAAGCCAGAATATCACAAAGTCAACAGATTTTTAGTGGGCCGACAAATGAACTGAATTGGCGGCAGACAGTTGAAAGCCGCAAATCGACACCATTGTTTTGTATTGTTATTTGCTTTTGAATTAAGCGACAACAGCCGAAAGTCAACAGTTCTGAATTGAACAGTTACGTAGCAGCCAAATCGAACGAGCGCTTGTAAAGTACAAACGAATATTTCGAACAGAAGCATCCGTTGAAGAACTTAACTAAATCGAGTCGAAGAGAAAATAGCTTTCACGTGGGCATATTTTCTACAAACACGTCGTTGTCATACGTATGTACATATACTTATATTAAAAACACTGCAGTTGGCGAAAAATATAGGAATTACAAAAAAAATGCCATGAAATTTGAATGGTGAATTTTACCACCAACAGACAAACTGGTAAATTTCTGTACTACGGAAATATGAGCTTTTTTTGTTAAACACGTATATGCTCCTGTGTCTACCGAGAACTGTCAGTTGACTCCTGTCAAAAAGTTGCCAAAAAAAGCTAAATTAAGTTGTTTTGCTTTTGGTAGCTCTGGTGCAGTCGTTATTGTTGTCTGCTGTCAGTTTTTTGTTGATTTTCGTCCTTGACTGAAGCTAGTGTGAAACTTGAGCCTTCAGGCCGAAAAAGTTGACGTTGAAGAGTGATGCTCTGCGAAACAGCGAACAAATTTTGTGGTGAGTTCAATTTTTTTTTTAATTTTGCTTATATACATAAGGTATTTAGTTTTCGAAAGAATATGCTTTAATATTTAAACTACATAATTTGAGTAGAAATGCCTGTACTTGATTTCTAAAAGAGTCAATTATTGTTTTTGTTTAATTTTTTGATCTTATATTAAGTCAAAATAGCTTAATACAAGTATTACTCAATTTATTTAAATTTTAAACCTAGATTCATTAAAAAGTTTAATAAATAAAATTAGCGCGGAAATTTGCGAAACACTCGCATAGAAAAATATTAATATTCAAAATATGGCTTTGTATAAGAGAGTAAAGTAAATGAGCACAAATAAATATAGAATTTGAAATAGGCTTAACAACAGCGCAAAGCAATTAAAAATCAAGCACAGTGTAGCAAATTGCAAAATGAGACGAAAGAAAGTAACAAAAAATAGTTTATAAGAAGAAATAAATATGTACATATATATATATGTGAAAAAGCAGCAGACTTAAGAAATAGCCAACAATTGAATAATTTGATCAATGCCGAGAACGCAACACACTAGCAGCCAACGCTTGCCAGCAAAGCGAAAACACGCAATGTATTTGTTGTAGCGCATGCGTGCGCGCTTCTTTTCTTCACATATGTACATACATTTGGTATGCCTGTGTGTATGGTAAATGCGTTTTGTGTCCGTTTCTTTTGCAGCATCATTAAAAATAATTTGTAGCACAACGTAAGCACACTCGTACATTTTTTCCGCCTTCTTACAGATAAACAAGTCAATAAACGATTAAAAAACTGAGCCAAAAACAAAAAACTACACATGTTCGTAGCGAATAGGCTCACGCGCCGACCAAAATTATAGCTCACAAGGTTTTTAGAAAATTGTTCTGTTCTCGGCCGATGATCTTGCCGCTTTGTTGCTATTATTTGGGGATGGCTTTGTAGCGCTGAAGTGCATGTGTGTAAGGAAACTAATTTTGAAAAACCTTATAAGTAAGGCCAAAATCAAAAAACGTATATATTCAAAAAGTCAAAGAAATACGTGTATGTGCGTCTTGGGTTGTTAAAGGAACAGTGTGTAATTATCGCGCGTTTTGGGCTCGGTGTTTTGCTGTTGTTAACTTTGTTGCTGTTGTTGAGATTTGTAATTTGATAAATGGGTTTGCGTTTATGTATTGGTTATTCGTCATTACAAACTGACAGTGACATCATTAATTGTAGCAAATGTTTATAACTAGTGTTGCCAGGTGTTAGAAAATACACAGACATATACAAATATATAAGTGGTTGATCAGCCAGAAAAATCAAATATTAATTAATTTCTCAAAAAATTATATAATTTCTATAAATTACAATTTTGTATAAAAACAAAATTTTTTTTATATATTTTAAACAATAAAGTATATTTTCTATCATAACTTTGCCATCAAATAAACAATTAAATTTGACGATATGTGCATCTCCCTTAGTAAATATGTAAAAGCGAGGAGAAGTTTACCTCAAGTTGACAAAATTGTTTGGAAAATGATAAGATACGCATATCTTTTAATTTATTTGCCTTCATTTGACTGCTCTGTAGTCCGCACATACATACATACATACACATGGGAACGCGTGTACGCGAATATAAACAATTGTACAAACATTAGACCGAAAATTGTCTTTGATTGATTTTTTGCTGGCTGCAAGCGCACACAGTGTAAAAAAAACAAAGGACAGCGTTGCGAATGCTTCACTAGCGCCGTTATGTTAAGTGGCGAATGTTGCACTTTGTTTGTGGGCAACTTAGTTCTTCGTACACACAGAGAAATACTTATGTACATACATATGTACACACTCGCATACCTAATAGTAAAGCGCCTCCACTATGTAAGCGGCCGAGATATTTGCGGCGTCCGAGACAGACGTTGGCAGCTAGCTGGTGGCTATTGGCCGCTCTCAAGTGTCTGGCGGTTGGCAAAAATGCCATATCAATTACAAAATTCCATTTTAACTGGTTTTGTATTTGCCGCCCTAATGGTGTACAGAAGAGTACTTAAAGTGGAGTAATACTCCGAGCTCCGTCTTTATTGTCTGCTGATCTTTTCTTCACATTGCTACAGCCGCAAAAGTCAAATGATCCGAGTGCGCAGGGTTTAAGTGAAAATGTAGAGATTTTTGTAATTCTACGGTTTCGCTTGGTATCCACACCGCTCTGCGCTGCCTAGTCTACACTTCGCTCGGCTTTATTCAAGCTACGAACGAGCTGAACTTCAATTCGCTGGAATTAAGACTTGACGTGTTCTTGGACAGAGATAATCCGAAACAACAGCAAAATACATGAAATGTACCTACGTACGTATGTGTGTGAATACGAGCCAGACTGGAGTCAGCTGCTTAGCGCAGTCGCATGTTGCAAGTGTTTATAGGCGCACTGAACTCGGCAATTGAACTTTAGAATGGACTTTACTTATATTATTATGGCCTTTAGTGTTTAAGTGGCCAAAAGCGGACATAGCGGTAGCACAAACGAGCTTGTATGCCCCGAAAAAACATAAAACCAATCTGTACAACCTTTTGGAACAACAAAAACCAGCACGTTGTACAGCACATAAAACAGCATGTCTGGCAAATCACTGCGGCGGTGGCGGGCTGTGGCGGTATGGAGTAACAGCAACAACAGCAGCGGTAAGTAGCGGTTTCCGAGGAAACTTACAAAATTCCACATCCGCTAGATTATGTGGCAGCTGCTCAGATTTTATGGACGCTTCTTTATCGTACAGCGTACATACAAGTATATGTATGTACATATGTTTATGCGCTTGTCCGGGTGTTGTTGTATTGCTGCTACCACTACCGGTGTTGTAGGCAAATGCCAACAAATAAATACTGCAATTTGCAACTCATTCCAAGTTAAATGGCCGCTATGGCAAGCAGCACAATATCCACCACACAAGTAACACTGTTCGTGTGGGACCCAGTGGTGCAGAGTTCAATGGCAGCCGCAACAGTGCGACAGTAGAGCAGTAGCGTAGCCATTGCCGCCCCACACAACTGTGTGTATTGGGTTACCTTTCGACATAGTGTGGCTTTTCTGCAGCCAACTACTGCGACTGACTGCTGACCACTAAGAGTAGCTGCCAATAACTTCTGTCCAACTGACAAGTGGCAGCAAAATGTCAAGCTATTGACAATCCATCCGTTCAAGCAACAAACTTCAGCGCACGAAGCTGCCGTGTGGAAGGCCCTTAAAAGTTGACACACAGTAGGCTTATTTGTGGAGTGTATAACTCCAAACGCGCATAAGCAGGTCGCTTTTAGACAATATACTAAAGAAGGGCTTTTGTGGTTAGTAATGGACTATTTTCAAAAAATTTCTAAAAAACTATTACAATTCTTCAGCACTTTTCTAATGCGTCGGCTTGCCGCACCGTCTGGATAAGACTTTACATAAAATGTGTGTATTTTTGCCTATGCGAAGACATTTAATTTGAAACTTATTTGAAAATCCACAAATCGGTGTGCTTGCGCTTTCCAAAAGGTTCCCACGTTGTCTGCTAGCCAGTTGGTGGTTTGGCTGATTTGCTTGCCCTCATTTCATGAATTGTTAAAACTTGACTGAAAGTGAACGGAGTTCGTACGGTCGGCTTCGCGCTGATAGTCGCTCGATCGGCCTTACACTACAGTTAGTTACCTGCAATGGCAGTTATCTACATTTGGCCTTCTATCTACAGCCGCGAGACGCCACATTTTGTTGTGTGACTCTTTAAGCACAAATTAAATCCACGACTTCAAGAAATGATTTTGTGGATTTCTTAAATGAAAAATTCTCAAAGCGAAGTAAATAAATTTAGCAGTTGAAGCCAGTCTGCGTACATTTATACTTGTTGACATCAATTTTTCACCACGCTCTCTAGTTGCTTTTTCTACTTGACTAAATTTCTAAGAATATGTGTGTGTGTTTTATTAGCATTCATCATATTTTCTAACTAGAGTTCGCCAGAGGCGTTTGTCGAATTTTACCTATAATTTTTTATTCAATATTGGCAGCATTAAACGGTAGTTTCGCAGAAGTTGCAAACGAGTAAATCAAACCTAGAGTGCTTTTAACAAAAGTGTTATAATGAGAGGAGTAAATAACATTTTTCAGGGTTAATTTAAGCTGTCTTTTATGTAACACTTTTTATGTTGTGTGAACCCAGGACAGCCGTAGCAGTTCGGGGAAGATGCTTTTAACACAACATAATGTCTAAAACAAATATTTTTTATGTCAAATAATCACTTTTGTTGGTTTATATACAGAAAAATTGATTGTTACTAATTTATAAATTTTGTAGAAAATAGCAAAAGTGCTTTCAGATTGCGATTACGCTCAAGTCAACGCGAATAGTAGCAGCATTTAAACGCTTATCGCCTGTTTATCTCTAATTAAACGGCCGTCAAGGAGAAACAAAATAGTCCACAAACAAATGGAAATCCTGCAAGTGGCGGTCCGCTGTCATTGCGTGGCGTGGCACAAGTGGCGTATACATTTCACGCACCGTCAGCCGGCAGTAGTTATTGTTCGAAACTAAGAAATGCTGCAGACACAACGCGTGCGCGGCTTGCAACATGCGCATAGCGGCGCGTAAACATGTTTTAGTCGTGCATTAATGCCTGCCATATTTAGTGGCAAATTAAAGCTGACATTCGAACAAGCAATATTCAATAAAAGCAAATCGAAAAGCTAAAGCAAATGCAAATCAGTTGGCGGCTTATTCAGCACGCTTTGCATTCGCGTTTAATTTGCTTTTAGCACATTGGTGTCGGCACTTAATAATGTGCGTGGCATGCTGCATATGTTCGTGTCGTTGTTTGTGTTACATGTTGCACGAGTTGAGTCTGGCGTGTGTGTGGCAAGTTGTAGGATGCGTGTTTAGTTAATTTGTTTTCGCTCATTCTTAATTTGCTTGTTGGCTTGTCGTAAGTGATGTTGCATGCAGCTAACATTGTGTTAACTATTTTTTTGTTTGCTTCAGCTGCGCCAACA